AAGAGATAGAGAGGGAATGTAATCTGAGGAAAAGGAGCTAGCAGTGGGCCCAAAATACTACCTAAGTGGGGATTGTAGATATTAGGTATTCAATTTTGCCAAAACGAGCAATGGTTCCCATGTTTAACCTTTCTAAACTCCCTTTCCTCTTAAGATGCGCCACCGACTGGTAGTGGAAAAGCAGAAACAGAACTTTGAAATGTGCTTAGGCTATCGAGGGACATAGCGTAACCTGGTAGAGTCGGCACCGCAACACGGTACGTTTTCAGGCTAGAGATGGACTCTTTTACTGTGTTCATAATATAAGCTTGACATATTGCGGGTGCACACAAGTACAACAAACCAAGAAACCTACAGCCATACACATCAAATTAGCTTTTTCTATGAATCTGGCTGAGGTTGATCACTACCTTTTTCAGAAGAAATCGAATCTCCTTCAGTTTTCATAGCCACATGCTTTGCATGTGTGTTTTTCAAAACAATTTGCATCACCATATTCCCATCATTGTTGATCGAACGTTTCTTCGCTTCATATTACATCGATGATTATGAGACAAAATCACGATTATGGGTGGCGATAATAGCAGTTTTGTCAGCATGTATTCTCTCCTTGTGCTATACGATTTCATTAATCTTCGGTGAGTGCACTTCTCATTTGCTGGAAATATCATGATCATTAGTGCCGTCCATCATTAAACATCCGGCCTTTCGTCCTACACTATAAAATGAAGTGTAAGTTTTGAAAAAGGAAGGGAAATGGGAGGTGAGTTGTGGCCAACTATCCAGGAACAAATGTATTCTGGATTAGTAGCCTCAAGGAACACACTCCGTCGCCCTCTATTAGTCGAAAAATCGCGATAAACTGCGATTTTGATATGGCAGAGCGTGCAAAGTAGAACGGACGCTTCAGGATTAGACGAATGGATAGTATTCATACTATCTACTAGCCGACGTTGAGCTTCCTACGTGATGTCGCTACCATGTTTGTTGAGTAATATTGAGATCAGGAGCGTGATGAAAGTTGCAAGATGAATGGATTAGAGGTGGTTCAGGTGTAGGTTTATCAGAGCTTTGTTCAATTAACTTCATACGATGAAAACCTGGTAGACTGCCTGTTGGCTCCAAATAAAAGAAACGGGCTAAGAAAGGCTGGTCATTCCAAGGGTGTCCCAGCGAACTCCGCAATAGATTTTTTCGACTCGCCACGCAGTCTGAGTCGACCTTTCCTCGATTCGTGTGAGTTGAGTCGAACTTTACACATTATTCGGGTCGACCGTCGCCTTTATTTGAGTTTTTTTTACTTTGCAATCTTATTTTATTTCAGGAATTGTGGGTGTTGACAAAGTGGCACTATTCTGTATTGGAGTGTGTTTCGTATTCTCGTTCGTGTTCCTATCATTGCATCGTCGCGATAGTATGCGATTCAACGATTTCGTCATGAAAAAGCCTCTTGGATATGAGCTCAGTACTAGATTTCAACTTGTAGAGAATCTGCGAGTACTCAAGGTACTGATATGACATGTTTTTCTACCAACCTTTGTTACTAAAGTTGTGCTTTCTGACTTTGATGATCAGAGATTTCAAAATCTCGCAAGATTTGAGCTCCACCCTACCAACATTTCTTCGATAGTGCCACATGCGGTGTGTCCTTGCAATTGTTTCCTCGAGAGATCTTTTCTTTTCTCTTAGTTGAAATAAACTCTTCATGGAATGATTATTGGCAGTAACTGTAGCAGAAAGTAGAAACTCAAAGACACGGTTCACGATAAAAATGGTTACCGAGTTCTTCCTCTAGGAATACTCAGTGGCCCCCAACGGTAAGAGAAAGGACCCTTTCGCGTGCACAATCTTGGCGGTCAGGGCGTAGTGGAAGCCTTGTGGCTGTCGTAAGTAGCTTTCCCGCCTTTCGATCGATGTCACGTCAGACGAGTGTCGAGGCAATACAGATTGCTACTATTCGTTCTAGGACCACACACAATCAGCCGAGTGATTAGGCGATGTTTTTCTCCCATTCTTTTTTCCTTCGTTATTCTTTTTGCTGCCGCAATCCCTTTTT